AGTTTCATGTGGAAATCTATTAACATCATCTGCTGCATTTGGTCCCGGACTCCTTGTATCCACTAAATCTGCATTGTGGAGATTGAAGGTTTTTATGAGACGTATGATCAAACATATTATTATGCTTCACGTTACTGTTACCTCTTCTGTTTACATATTGTGGCTCTAAACTATTGACCCTTTCTAGATATCAGTGAACTGAACCTGCCCAAATCGTGTACCATATCATTTCCTAATGGGAAGGATGACCTGATGAATTTTGAAGTTACTATCCGGCCTGATGAGGGATACTATTTGTAAGTGTCTCTTCTACTAAATCATGCCAACACCTAGATTGCATCACAAGTCTCATAATTGACATCTTCTATTAATACCAGTCATAATTCATAGGCTATTGCTAACTAGTGTGTAGTTCTTGCTCGTCTTTGTACCTATGTCATTGATTCTTGACTTTGCTTCTTTCCCTTTTTATATTTATTTTTTAATTATTATTATCATCTCTTAACCATCAATATTGCTTTATTCTTTTTTCTCTTTTTTTCTTGTAATTATGGAGGTATGGAGAGGGTGGAGTTTTTGTCAAAATCTATATCTCTATGTTTCCTCCATTTTACAATGAACGCATCATTTGACTTTTGCCTTTGCCTAAACTCTATTTTTGATAATTAATTGTAATAGAAAAAAGCATAGTCAAAGCTAATAAATGAATAGTGTCCAACAGTCCAAGGTCCAAACAATACATGTATTTTGTTACTGAGGAAGTTATTATACTAGTGTGGAGGGCAATTAGATTAGGGGCTGTTTGGTTGGGGATATTAAGCAAAGGGAAAGGGAATCATTCCCTTTGTTGTTGTTTGTTAGCCAATTTTTTTCATTCCTTTTCCCCTTTTTTATTTTTGGGTTTACCCAAATTAATTCTACTCTCATTCCCCCACCCCCCCAAGCCTTTTCCATTCTCTTTCCCCTCTTCATTACCCACCATTCTCTCTCCTCTCAAACCCTCACATGAAGATTCGAAGAACTAGGCCGGCGTCGACCTCTGACCACCGATAAACGTCTCTTCTCCGACCAGGTCGGTAAGCCGAGTCGACTCACCGGAATGGCATAAACTCGCCGATCAGAAACGAAGAGTGAGAAAGAGAACCTTGGTTCTGGAATCTCGTGTTCCGGAAGCCTCGCCGAGGAAGATGATGAACCTCGCCGACCAAGGTTCCAGAACACGAGGAAGATGAACCTCGCCGACCATACTCTATTCGTATCTTCTTCAACTTCAATTCGCTGACTAAGGTTCCAAAAGAACCGAGATTGTTACCATCGGAGAATCTGGAAGCGGCACATTGGTGGTGGCGCATCGAGTCGGAAGCGGCGGCGTGAGACCGTTTTCGGCGACATTGAGGCAGTGGTCTTTGATGAGATTTGAGGCCGATGAAGATGAGATTTGACCAATAATTTATCTTTTTAATTTTTTTTTATTTTTGAGGGATTTGATATTCTAATTTCTGAACCAAACAATAACAAAGTGAATCAATGAGCAGTTCATTCTGTTTCCTAGACGCAACCAAACAACCAGGCCAAATTAGGGGAATTCCTTTCCTTTCTCCTTCATTCCCTTTCTGCATTCCATTCTAATTCCCCTGTGCAAACCAAACGGCCCCTTAGTATATTTTTATTTGGATCATTGAACTTCATTAATAATTCAGTTGGCTATGCTTTATTTGCATTACTTGTTTCTTTCATCTTATCAACTCCCTCCATCTCAAAAAGTTCTCCTTGACTTTTTTTTTTTATTTTTTTTTTGTGGTGAGTCACACCATTAAAATAGGTAGAACTTTAAGAGACGGAGGAATAATTGCATAGTGTATTGATATACTAAGGGAACTTTTGATTGCAGAGGCGGCACCTTTGTATTTACCTTTCAAGTTCCATCTGTATATCCTCATGAACCTCCAAAGGTTAAGTGCAAGACAAAGGTAAATAGAGTGATTCTCAATGTAAAACCGTCTTATGCTACATAAAATGACAAGTTATAAGTGCACTTCTGAATTTTTGTTTCCTAACTTTTTGTATGCATCTGGCAGGTATACCATCCCAACATCGATTTAGAAGGTAATGTCTGCCTTAACATTCTAAGAGAAGACTGGAAACCTGTTTTGAATGTAAACACTGTCATCTATGGGTTGTATCATCTCTTCACGGTACTAACATTTCCCTTTATCTAGATATTGTTTTTTCTTTTATTGCTACATGCATTGCATTATAGTGGCATGTTTATTTGTGTGTGCAGCAACCAAACTATGAAGACCCTTTAAATCATGATGCCGCTGCTGTGTTGAGGGATAATCCGAAAATGTTTGAATCTAATGTGAGAAGAGCTATGGCTGGGGGTTATGTGGGTCAAACTTTCTTTCCTAGGTGTGTTTCTTGATGGTTATGATGCTGTTAACTTGGATGTGAAGGGTGCTGTTTGACTTCCTGGGAACTATATCTTTAAACCTGTACCAATTTCGCCGAGGGTGTGTATACTTTGTGTTGCAATGAGAATTTAGTCAAATGACTTGAAAATTTATGGTTTCCTCTTGTGCCAAAATAAACACTAGTTAAATAGTGCTAACAATTTGGAAATATTTGTCAAAATTTATACCGTATCTTTTACTCATTTTACGCTTTTGTTGTTCTTGATGATCATTTCTTTCAAGAGTTTTAAAAGTAAAATAAACAGGCAAAACAACCCCAACTGAATATAATCAAGTCAAATTTGCCTAAATCCAGGCATAGGTGAACCTACAAATGTACAGGATAGTCTTTGGTTTCCAGTGTTTCTTTGTTGTTTGCGATTGGTAGTAGGCCATTATGGGTAGTAGGCCGATAACGGAATTGGTAAAGAGTTGATGACCTGGCCTTTGTCCAAGTCATACTGAGGCACCATCCCATACAAAAATAATTAATATCTTTATAAATATCAATATTGTATTTAGACAGTATCAAGTTGTTTTTAAATTACAGTATATATATTTGGATTTTTTGACTTATAATACCACAAAGAAGCACAATAATGGATTTTAATACCACAAAAACTAAAACTTTTATTATAACACCACATAAAATCCAAAAAAAATAGATTTCACCACCACTTAACAGATTCTTGAATGGGATCCGTTAAGTGGGGTTCACACTATCACTTGTCACCATATTAGAAATTAAAAAATAAATAAATAAAACCCCCAAAACAATAATCCCAGCCACCCCATCCCTACCATCGGCACCCCCTTCCATGCCGGAACCCTCCCTCTTGACACTCCCACAGCCACCAAAACCTGCACCACCTCCAACACACCCACAGCAACCGAAACCCACGCCACTACCGACACACCCCAACCACCGGAACCCTCCCTCCTTCACCAACAACCATCTACCTGTTTTCTGACTCCCCAAAAATAAAAGAGCACCTAGCGGCCGAAATCGATAAATTTAGGGCCGAATTCGACCACTTAGGCCCTAACTGACTGACTTCAACCGCTAGTGGCAGTTTAGGTGGTGGAATGGGAGTTTGCGTGCGTTTCTGGTTGGTTAGGGTTTAGGAAGTTGCGAGTTGGGGGTTAAAAGGCGCGAGGGAAAGGGAGGGGGTGGAGTTCACTGGGGGGTAAGGAGGGCTAGGAGTTGTTTCGATTATGAAGGAGGGGGTTCCGCGGCAGCGTAGGTTTGGCGGCACTAGGGCCTAGGGGGGTGCCGGCGGTGGGTTGTAGGGCTGGCGGTGGTGGCTGGGTTAGAGTTTATGGTTTTTTTAAAATTAAATTTGTTTTTAATTTTTATCCACTAGATTAGTGACACATGTACGTTATAGGGCCCACTAATGTTGAATGGCATCAGTAGAATGGTGGTGAAATCAAATTTTTTAGTTTTTTTGCGATGTTATAATAAAAGTTTTAAATTTTGTGGTGTGTTAAGTAAAATAAAACTTTATATATTATTTATATTACTATGTACTATAGTCAAAGTACTGTCCCAATGGCATTTCAATTTTGCTTAAAACTTTATGGAGCGCATTTGGTCCAAGGATCGAATCTTAACAAAAATGTAATCCCCCCTTTATTTTTTGAAAGTTATTTTAACTTATTCAATTTTTTTGAAAATAATTAATTAATTCAATTGACATACCATAAACTTTGTAAACAATTAATGATTTTTTTTAATTCAAAACCCCCCTTCCTACAAATTTTATAAACAATAAAAATTTATTAAAAGATGGTATTAATTATTATAATTATTGTTGTTCTTGTTATTATCATAGTTGTTATAATAAGTAGATGAAACCCGTGCGATGCACGGTTTTTTTGTATTTTTTCGAATAAAATAGTTAAATAATATATATTTATCTAATAAACTTTGTGATATTCGCTTGCTTACAACTTGATTTTTTTTTTATAAACTGAATTATTTACTTTGTTTATCATATTTAGATAAAATACGTAATATAAAAAGATAATATTTGATTTCACAAACTTTCATATGTGGCTAGTCACATTGTGTGGTCGGAATTACTTGGTCAGGAGTTACTTGGTTTGTTAAGGGTTACTCGGACGGTCAGGGGTTGGTCGGTCAGTGTTTAGGTATGTCTCAACCGGTCATACGACATGGCCAGCCACACAAAAACGTGCTAATTTTATTTTTATAATTAATATAAATTTTTTGGTTTAAAATAAATTGCAATTTATTTTAGGAAAATTTATTAAAAATAATCCCAATTTCGCCCAGTTCGCTCAAGAAATCCCTACTTTAGATTATTTTTAAATAATCTCAACTTTACCACCCTTTAATTTTTAACAGACCTGGGTGACTATAACCGCGTAAGAAAGTCAAGCTTCCCAATTGTTGACTAAGTTTACTAATTTCCCACCTAAAGTAATTATAAGGGTCATTTAATACCCAACCACCTCTGTCAACATCACACCCAACCCCTGTATCTCTCGCAAATCTTCGAAAAGGATGGTGACGCCATTAAACCTTGGTTCAGAGCTTCCATTTCAAGCAAAGATTTGGAATTTGCGAAGGGAAATTGTAAAAGCACACGCAATAAGTACTACCATTGCAGGTAACCCTTAATCTAGTTGATTTTGCATGTTTAATTGAGTGGTTTGCTGTTAAATCGTAGTTGTTTGGTGCTAATTACATGTACAAATACCCAAAAGCTTCATTTTTTGGTATGTTTTGTGTATAATTTGGTAATAATTGACTGTTAATTGGGGTTTAATTTTGGTGTAAAAGAATTGAGTTTGTTGTTTGTTTTTGCTACAAATGTGGTTTGAATTTGTATGAATTGCGGTTGGATTTTGTTTGAATTGTGGTTTGTTGTTGCTATGGTCATATTGACAGGGTGATATGAGTGATAAATTTCACAAATATACATTGAAGTTTTGGCATGGGGGGTTTTCAAGCATGTTGCAAATGGGCAGTTAGTGTATGAAGGAGGGAAAGGGAAGACAAAGCAAGTAGACCCTGGTGAGCTATGTTACTGGGACGTAATTATGTTAGGGAAGGATTGTGGAGAGACAAAAAAAGGTTGAGAGTGTGTATTACCTGGTTCCTGGACTTAGTTTAACTGATGGGTTGTGTTTTGGGGTTTTTTAGTGTCCTGCAGGAGAGTTACAATTCCAAGACTGGATTTCGGGCGCCTGTATCTGCAAAACAACGGAGACTCCTGGTGCGTGGATTTTCGCCTCCAACGATCAAGTTAAAACGTGTTTGGATGTAAAAGGTGTGGAATGTAAATGGGATCAGGTTTCTCTTTGGAGAGAAACGATCATCCGACTATCTCAGACAGCCTCAGTATCCGAGTGTAAACTCTCGTGTGTAATTAAATTATGCAATTAATGCTCTGGTTGTATTCTATGTTGTGTTTCTTTTAAGGAAACATCTCCCTTTTATAGGGTCTCGAAATGCGTGCCCTTCCTAGGTTAAGAAACCTAGGACTGACGGGCTGCTTGGGGATTTGGGCCTTGAAAGCTGCCAAATATCTGTCTGCCACGTGTCATGTCCTGGTACGTCTACTTTGGGCTCTCCTTAAGATGACACGTGGCAGGCTCTAATTGGTCCACGTGGCGAACCATGATTGGTCCACGTGGCGGGGTAAAAATCCCCTAATCATTTGCCCCACACAGGGGTGACGTGGCTTGCCACGTGACGCCTGTGACATGTGTCACATGCGTATAGGCGAACTGTTTTTTACCGTTTCTTCTTTTGGAACATTTCTCAAGGGTTCCCCTTGAAATTCTCACCCCCCTATATAAGGGTCATGCCCCAATCATTTTTTCACACATTCTTAAGATTTTCGGACATAGAATCTTTGACTTTTAGAAAAGAACTTGTCTTTTTATGAGAAAAGCACCTGTCGCCGGCTACCTGACCACCTGTTTTTTACAGCCGCCTAAGACTCTTTTCAAACGTCAACCGTACCTTCAAACTAAAGGTAACCGCCTACTTTTCTCTCGTATTTACTTTGTTTCTTTTCTTTTTGAAAATGGTTTCCCAAAAACACACGGCACGGCCTAGGTTAGTGATCAGCCGATCACCGGGGACGGCTGAATCTAGAACTAGGAGTGCCGACTGCCCCTTGCTGGACCACCCTTTGCGAACTTCTCCAAGTCGACTGTCGCTGTGTCTGCGCAGGACACCATGGCCAAAATTAAGCAAATAGTTAGGCAGCAATGCACGGACGACTCCTTTAGGGCGCCTCTTAGCGAAATCTCGGACGTGTCGCCTAGCACCCCAAGTACCCCCAATGATTCAATCTTGCTAGAATCAGGGGAGGAGTTGGAGGGTAATGCCTCCGGCTCTATTCAACAGGACCCTCAGGCAAACGATATGTCCGACGGCTTAGACAGTGAGTCAGAGCCTAATACTTTTGGTAGATCCTCCAATGACTCTGAGGAAATGCGCTCTCGTCTAGAGACAGCGAGAGAGTCCCATTCTGTGGAAAAGGGCAAGGACTGGGCCGAGCCGTCTGCTACCCTCCGAGAGGAATTTGCTGCTTACTATCATCACGTTCCCTCGGGTAGATGAAAAGCAATGGCTGATAAAATAGGGATTTTAGAGCTGAACATGTCATGGGACATGGTTTTATTTTGTACGTGCCGGATGCCGAGGACACCATAGTCTAGCCAGAAAAGTCAAGCTACGGGGATGAATACTTTGGCTGCTATGAGGCGGCCATTCAGGCTGGTCTCAGGTTCCCCCTCCATCCGGCCGTAGAGAGCATTCTTAATAGATATCAGCTGGGTATCTGGCAACTGGCCCCAAATTCTTGGGTAAATATTCTGGGCTACATTGCCGCCTGCGAAATGTTGGAGGTGGATCCCAGCTTCGAGGCATTCGCCCACATGCATTATCTCAGCCGGATCCCAAAGGCAAGCGGGTCTGGATGGTACACTTTGTCTAGCCACAAAGGCTATATGATGACAATAGGAAAAGAGAACAAGTGAAAGGATTGGAGGAGCAAGTTCTACATTGTCTCTTCTCCTGACAAAGTGAAGAACAAACAATACAACAGGTGGAACCGAAACCCACCTCTGCTATCAGGCGGATCTGAATTGCCGCCTGTTCCCGGAAAGGCCAGAGAGGAGATCTTGGATAAGGGTCTCTTCAAAGTGACCATCAAGCCTAATGAGGAGACTGAGTTGAAGGAAGTCATTCCCCATAGTTATATTCCCCGATATGTCTGGCTATCTGATGGGGATTATCTTGCCGCCTGTGGCCTTAGCGTTGAGAGGCCGAGAGGTGAGGACCGAATGTGTTAAGATGTTTAGTAAGACTTGTTTTGTTTTGTGTGTCTTACTTAACCATTTGACTCTTCTTATGCAGACAAAGCAATGGAAAAACTCTCGGCCACCAAGAAGCGAGCCGCCTACTACCGCTCCCTTTTGGGCAAGCGGAAGGGCGAGGAGTCGCGTGCAGCTCAGACACCCAAGGTGAGCCTTTCTTCAATTTGGCTAAGTTTTGATTTATTTTTCTCGCCTTCTTCTTACTCAAGTTGGTTTACGTGCAGGGCGGTTCCTCCAAACCCTCTATTTCTTCTTAGCCGGACCCGAAGCTTCTGAAGCAGACGGCCGGCGATGTGACGACTCCTGGCAAGTCCAGGAAACATGTGGCGGCCCAGAGGCCTGGAAGAACCCATCCTCCTAAGTCCCCAGCCGCCCCTGGGAGTAGCCGACCCCAAAAGGAGAAGGAGGCAGCCGAAGGTATTACAAGCTTTAATCCTTTGCCTTACCTTTGTAGGGTCAAATTCAATCAGCAGTCGACCAGTACCTCTGAAAGTAGCCGGTCTATAGGTCGAATTTACACCAAGTATTTACAAAGTGTTGATTGTGCAGATGCCCCTCAGAGGCCGGATTTTCAACAGCTGGCCAAGACTATGCTGAGAGCCATCTCCCTTGAGGACAAGAAGTCGTTTAGAGGAGTCGACACCGTCAATCTTGATGCCATCCTCGCTCTTCTCGCTAAGATATTTTAACTTGTAATTTTTACTTTTTTGTGCAACTATTTTTGCCGCCTGTACTAATGTTTTGCTCTTTGCCGAATGCAGTCTATGCTGCGAGTGCATGGACTTAGAAAGCCCATCCACGAGAAGACCAAAGAGGTAAAAGCTGCAAATGCTCGCTCCGCCTTTTCTGTAGATACGACCATGTTTTAGAATGCTCAGAATGAATTATTGACCACTAACATCCTATATTATCAGGCGGCCGCCAATCTGCAGGTCAAGGCCGATTTGGACGCGGCGAAGAGGCGGATCTCCAAGCTGGAGAAGGTGCTTAAGGACCTCAAGGCTACGCTTGAGCCTCTTAAAGAGGCGGACTCTGAAGCAACCGGACTCTGCACCCCGGTGGACAAACTCAAGGCCAGGCTGCAAAACAAGGAGGTCCAACTCGCCAAGAAGTATACTTCAAGGGCTGAGGAGGAGAAAGAGGCCCTGGTCAAACAGATGATGGACGACTACACGCCATCATAAAGATGACTTGGGAGGCTCTTTTCCCGAATGCTGGCTATGAAGGCTGGAAGAATCAATTCGCCGCCTCCTCTCAAGAGTACAATGTAACTCCTGAATCAAGTTCAAGAGGAAAAGGAGGAGGAGGAAGAGTCTGATCCGGCCAAGGGGTCTGACCAGGAAGAGGATTCGGAAGCTGAAAAGGAATAGGAGCCGGCTGGGAAAAAGAAGGATGTAGCTGCTGACACTGAGAAGCCCCCTCTTGAAGCTTAAGCCTTGAATTGTTTTTCTACGGCCGAATGGCCATGTATTACTTTCCTCGGCCTGCGTACCATCCAACGATCACAATACAATTCGAGTCAAACAAAACAATTTCATTTGAAATCAAGAACCTGCGTTTTTTCTCACTCCTCCTTCCTCTTTCACGCGCAATTTTCTCTCTCCTCATTCAGTTCATCCGTTTTTCTACTCTCTTTCTCTCTGATTTTTCATCATAATTTCTTTAATCTTCATCAATTCTTCGTCAAGGTGAGTTTATTGTTTATATTTTGCTGTTTTTCAATTAATTTTAGGTTACATTCATCGTTTATTTTCGTTTTAGTTTTCGTTTAATTTTTGTTGATTTCAGCTCACATTGTTTATTACTTTGTGTCGATTATGTTTTAGTTTGTTTTTTTTTTGTTGATTTTAGTTTTATTTTCGTTTTTTTGAGTAGTTATCAAGTTGATTTTAGTTTTATTTTGCCTAATTTTAGTTATATTCCATTTTTTTTTAATTTTTTTTTTTGGAAACCTAGAAATCATTGATAATTTGTGCTTGATTTTAGGTTTATTTGAATAATTATTAAGTTGATTTTAGTTTTATTTGAGTAATTATTTTTTATTTCAGTTTTTAACTTGATTTTTGTTTGATTTTTCGGCTTAATTTTTTCTATTGTTTAATTTTCTGCTTAATTGTATCAGTTATGCTCGATTATTTCAGCTTAATTTTATTAGTTTGTGTTCAATTTTTTCAATTTGTTCATCAACTTTTCTGAAAGAGCCTGATTTTGAGAATAGTTTGGAAGAGCTTGATTTTGAGAGTAGCTTGGAGGAGCTTGATCTCGAGAATATGTTGGAGGAGGCTGTACCTGAGTAAAGAATGGAGGAATATGATTCTGAGATATTCATGCCTTATCCAAAATGAACAATCATTTAGGAAATATGTGATTCTTGGTAGATTTTAGGGCAGAAAGTTACATTTTCTCATTTTGAAAATTTCCAATTCCCCAAACTAGGATACTATGTTCAGTTTATCTGCCTTTGCTTATATGTTAACTTTTTTGTTTTTGGTAAATAGAAATAACATTACCATAAAGAAAAGCCAAAACGGCAATAAAAGTACAAGCCCACATGGCCAGAAGGTGAAAACCGTCCCCCAAAGACTACAAGTCCAAGGGCAACAAAACAGAAGCTAGAGGTCCGGGAACCAAAAGCCATCTTCTAGGAAGGGTTCCTTTGGGACAAGGACCAAAAACAAGGCTCCCTAAACTCAAAGGAAGAGGGTTACCCTCTAGGAGGGGCACCCCCGACCAAAAGAACAGGACAACAACCAGCAATAAAACAAAGAACAACAAAAAAATAATCTATGCACTTAAACCCAGCAAGCTGAACCAAGGCAGCAGCTCCAAGTAGCACCCAGCAGCAATAAAGGACAGCAGCCAAGCTGCAGTATCAACAAAGACCAGCAAGAAGGGGAGCATGCTGTAGCAGCCTGAGAAACTAGCAGCAGTAGGAAACCAGCACAGCAGTAGCACCCCACCAGTAGCCCCAGAATCAGTTGCGATACAGTAGGCAACACCAACAACAAGGAGCAAATGCACCAGCCAGAATTGCGAAACAGGAAGCAGTAGCCTGAACCTGCAGAAACAGCACCCAACAACACTAGAAACAGAGACCTTCTATAGTGCCTGGTTGTAAACCAGCCCCGGTGCAGCAATAGGACAGTAGTAGTAGCAAACAAGAGCACTAGCAGAGAACCCCATACAACCAACAAGAACAGCCGGGATAGGCAGCAAGCAACCCAACAACACCAACCCCAGGCTGAGAAAGACAGCACAAGAAGCAGCAAACAGTAACAACCAAAATATAGACAAAACAACCCAAAAGCTCAATTAGAAATCATACGTAGCTTTCGATCATCCTCCAAACATCGACAAGCAACTTTGAAAACAATTTCTTTAAAGACAAATTCTACTGGATCACATTTCCTTGAAATATAGTGTATTCCTTTGCCACCAAATACTGTAAACCGCTTCAGCCAGGAACATTAAATGTGACCGGCCACTAGGTTTAGATTTCCTACAATGGTGGGTTGCCCACTCAACTTCCAAATCAAGGTTCTGGACTACTTTCCTACATTTTAGAAGATCCAAGACCTTTTGCCAAATTCTCCGGGAGTAACTACATTCAAAGAAGAGATGAGGAGTGTTTTCAGGCGCCTGCAGGCACAACAAGCAACTAGGGTCACAATTCAAGTTCCACCTCATCAATCTATCTTTAGTCAATAACCGATTCCAGATTGCAAGCCAAAGGATGAAAAGACTTTTGGGAGAGGCTCTGTTATTACAAGTTACTCTCTTCCAAATAACTTTTGGGGATTGGAATCTAAGGAGATCATAAACCTTCTTAATTTGCATTTCCCCCCCATATTGAACTTTATCCTATCCACCAATCTGATCAATAACTTCCCTGCATTTAAGGATTTTCCTCAAAACCCAAGAACTCTTCTGAGGAGCAGGAACATCCCAAATATTCCTATTCTTGAAATAGTATGCATGCACCCACTTCACCCATAAAGAATCAAATAACATCCCAAATATTCCTATTCTTGAAATATTATATGTTAACATTGTCACAACTCACAAGGTTCTTAAAATGGGTAGTTTTCTAATTCATTATACCATTATAGTATAGAAGCTACCCAAATTTGTTCCTTTTGAATTACTTTTTCTTGGTTGGTAGGACACTATTTTCTCACATTTAGGATCCTTTGCTTCTTGTTAGAAATGTGGTGAATCCCCCCTTCCCCCTTTTTATTTCTCTTCATATTATGCGATATATTTTCCCATGCATGCCATCCTCCTTTGCGTTGATATATGAATACTTTTTTCACACTGTTGTAAGCTAAAAGTTTGCATAGATAATATTCTTGAAGTGTTGAATTTAGTGAAAAGTTTCGTGGTTGCATTACACCTAGTGTGCTGTCAATCTTGTGGCTAAGGTTGTGTGACGGATTTTAGCTTGACTGGCAAGAATTAGAATTAGTTAGTAGCTGTGACAGAAGATTACAGTTGCAGAGAGTGTTTGTAAATTGGAATGCAATTGTGATTATTAATATGTTGAATTGTAAATTGGAATGTAACTGTGATTACAGTTACAGTTGTTGATAATGCTGTCAATTCTTGCTTGTGTCTTGATGCTTTTGTTGGGCTAAGGGATGTTGTTTGGTTAAAAGCTGACAAGCATCATTGAAATTGATAATGACTCAAATCCATCTTAAAGGGAGAAATAAGCATATCATTCATATATGTACCTTGTGATATTTGGGCTGGTTATGCAGCCATGTAGGATGTAAACACATCTTTTCATTTAGAAGATCTTGGTTTAGGGTTTTCTTAAAAATTTGCTTCTTAATTGGATTTTTCCTTTTTTAGTTAGCTTACATTTTTTTCGGGTTTTTTTTTTTTTATAATTGTAGAATTGTTCAGTGCTATGGATTCTTCGGTTGCTATTGATTCTACCAATGCTAAAGATTTTACGGATGTACCTTTGGAAAGGATAATGTATGTGTTTTCTTATTTCCTCATTCTATATTTTCTTATTAAATGCTTGCTGATTTAATGAATTATTAAAGAAATGTTTGCTCATTTGATAAATGAGCAACTAACTATTTGCTCATTTGCTAAATGAACAAAAAACTGATTGCTCATTTGCCAAATGATCAAAGAAATGTTTGCTTATTTTGCAAATGAGTAACTAATTATTTGCTCATTTGACAAATAAACAAATGTTTGCCCATTTCACAAATGAGCATCTATGTTTTTGCTCATTTGTTAAATGAGCAAATAAGTATTTGCTCATTTGTAACTATTTGTTCATTTGACAAATGAGCAAATAACTATTTGTTCATTTGCTAAATGAGCAAAATATTGATTGCTCATTTGACAATTGTTCATTAGATAATTTATCGACCTATGCTTTTCTATCATAACATACTCTAGAACCTCCCCTAAAGTATCCTCTTCATTACATTTTTTTTATTTGACAAATGAGCAGGACACTTAAAAAGGAGTGTGCTGTCGATGTTGGTTCATCAGGGGCTGTAGTGGTTGTAGAGTCTGAGAAGCTCAGTGCATCTATAAACCCAGAAAAGAAGAAGAAGAGATTCAAATTAGTCACTACTAAGGGTAAGGGAAAAAAGGTTAAAAAAGGAATGAAAGAAAAACCGAATGTGAAGTATGAGGTTCCTGATGGTGAAGATGCTGTTGATGAAGTGCAGGGATCAAAGTCTGTTGTTTATGGGACGTTGCGTAATAGGATGTCGCCTTCATCTGTCGTTAATGTTGTTAAGAAGCTTTTAGAAGATCAGTTGATTGCTATTAGAGCTATAGGATTTGGGTCCTTGGAGTTTTTGAAAGTGTCCCAACTGCCTTTGCAGTTGGGTTTTTGGTTGGTCAAGCACTTTGATGCTCAGAGTTGTTCCTTGAATATTCCTGAATTCGAGCCTTTCAAAAATACAGAACAACATGTACATGAGGTCCTAGGGCTGCCAGTTGGAGGCATGGAGATGGATGCAAATGGTTTTTCAAAGGATAATAAAGTCATTACCCAATGGAAAAAACAGTTCAAAAAGAAATCATTATCTGTCAACATTGGGGAGCTTTCAATTTATTTGAAGGACCATAAATCAGCTGGGCCAATGTTCAAACGAATTTTGTAGTTCTTTGTGTTTCCACTTTAATGTCAGGTAGTCTTTTCATTTTCATGAAAGGAATGGTGTCCTTCCAACAAGTGTATTATTCCGATAGAGGGTTCGGGATTATTAGAAAGCTAATTCTTCAGTGAGGTCAAGTGATCGGAATGCCTTGGTGGAGGCCGCTTCCGATTAGTAATATTAATGCATAATTAATATTACAGCTTAATCTTCACTGAACCCTTCGGGTCGCACCCCTATCGAATAACCGATTCGAGACGACGAATCAATCTAAAGGATTAGATGAGTCATTAGAGTATTACGAACAAAGACGTCGGATATCGAGCTTAGAGCATCGAGACCGAGCGTCGCAAGTCAAGTCAAACTTCGAATACGACGAGATGCAGATTCAACAAGTGACAAGTTCGAGTCAAGCCATAGCCTCGCATTGGCCTAGCCATGCGAGTGCTAGGCTAAGTGAGGTCACCAACTGATATGTTCATTTTATATAGAGATTTACCCCCGTCCTTTGGTCATATTTAGGAGTAATATTGGCTCCTTGGAGCCACTTTTATTACTAATATGCGTTTTCTAGTGTTTTCGTAGATTTGGTATTGTTTTATAGGAATTTGCGGATTTGGAGCATTTACCTGAATTTATTGGAGCCGCTACGAGCATTGGAGTAAGGTCGCATTCATATGACCATATTCCGTAGCCCAAGATTGCGTTTGAGTAATCAAACCAGTAATTAAGGGCTCGGTGAAGAAGAAGAGTTCGAGG